TCGGTTAAGATGAACAAGATGACAGGAAGTGCCGCTCTCTTGGAAGATACAGATGTTTGTAAATATTTTGAAAGAAACAGATGATTGTGTTTCCTTAATATGTCATTTGTGTTTTAAGATTATGTAAATGAATTAATTCTTTAAAAACTCATGGCTGCATACATTAGAATTCTGGAAATAGAATCTTCTGATCAGCTTGCATTGTTTCCCCTCAAAACATGGCTAAAAAATTCTTCTAAAGACACATCTTTCAATTATTTTGCTGGTGCAGCCAACTGACGCAGGGCGGGTAAGAGTTTAGTAGCCAGAGTTCAAGGAGACATTTCCGTAAAAGTTCCAAACAGCTCTGAGACGCTAACGTATGACGTAATTAAGCCCAGCTCCTGATACAGCTGTTCCAGTTGGAGTTAAGTACCTGGGCAGAGGTGTGGTTCGTCATTTTAAGATAAGAAAGCCCCTGGGAGCCAGATAGTAAAATGAACCGGACTCTAGAATGGTTTCAGAGTTTCAAAACCAAGAAGGCACCGCTCTTCCTGTGTTGTCATTAGTAATTTTATGCTGGTCACATAAATCTCACTTAAATTGTTGCTTCTAATTATCTCCTTTTAAGACTCTTTTTGTGGGCCCCGCCTTGTGGTACGGCAGGTTAAGCCCTGCCTGAGAGCCGCATCTGGTCCACGTCCCTGCTGCTCCACCTGGATCCAGGTCTCTGCTGTGGCCTGGGAAAGCAGTGGACGATGGCCCCAAGTCCTTGGGCCCTACACCCACGTGGGAGACCTGGAGGAAGCTCCCGGCTCCTGGTTTTATCCTGGCCCAACTCCTGTGGCTGCACACATTCGGGGAGTGAACCAGCAGGTGGAAGATTCATTCTCTCCCTCTCTCTCTCCCTCTTTCCCTCTCTCTCTCTCTCTCTCCCTCCCTCTCTCCCTCATTCTCTCCCTCTCTCTGTATGTGTATGTGTCTCCCTCCCTCTGTAACCTGTGACTCTGACTTTCAAATAAATAAAAAATAAATCTTTTTTAAAAGCCTCTCTTGGTGAATGTTTAATGACAGCACTGATGTATAACTGACAGATACTGAGCAAGTTCTCAAAATGTCGGCTTCACGGCCTTATGTTGCAAGTTGTGGACATTATGTTTTGTATACACACACACATGTGCATATACACACATATGTTAGTGCGCCTCCTGCTTTGCGTCCCTGACACCTCCGGCTCCCCCTGACCCAGGCGGCCCTGGGCCCGCGGTCAGGGAGGCGGGGGACTGCCGGGAGCCTGTGTGCCCTGCTCGCCCTGGAACTCGCTGCCCTGGAGAGCGTGGCCAAGCCGCCTGCTTGCTGTCCTGCGCTGCGGGTCTGCTGCTTGGACGCGGTTCCGGGGACGGCAGCGGCGCGCTCAGCGGCGTGGGCGTGGGCGCGGGGCCGGGCGTGGGTACGGGGGATCTTCGCTTCGTTCCCACACCCTCAGGCAGGGGACAAGACAGACACGGCACGGCCACCCTGTCCTCTTCCTCGTTCACTGCCTCTACTCGAAGCAGGGAGTTGAAAGACGGCGGTTGCGGAGTGGCAGCCGAAGTGCTGGCCAACAGTGCCGTCCGCGTGTGCGCACGGAGCCCCGGCTGCAGACCCCGGCCATGGCCAGACAAGGGGCACTGAGCCTGCAGCCTGGGGTTCCCTGGGCACCGCGGGGAGGTTCGGCTGTGCGGGTGACGGGGGTCCCCTCCCTCATACCTCAGTCCCCACGGCGCGTCCAGGGAGGGGACGGCGGATCCCAGCCCTGGACACCCCGACCCCTCCGGGGCGCCAGGGCCGCCTCGCTTCTGACCCCAGATCAGGCCGTTCAGCAAGAAGCAGGTCGGTCGCTCTTCTCCGAGCTGACCCTTCCTGATTTTGTAACTGTTGTACATTTACTGCAATTTCACAAAACGAACCGCGGTTTCCTTATAAAAGCTGTTAAGACGGGCTGAACCCGAGGGCCAACTCCAGCTATCTGGTGTTTTGTCACTGAGCGGCTGAAAACCTCTGAGTGTTCTTGTCTAGGGTAACTTCATCTACCCCCGGGCACGGGCACTGGCCGACTTCTGTGGTCTGCTCCGGGTTCGGGTCGAGGTGAACGCCTGGGTCCCTGGCCAGTCCTCTGCTGTGTTAGGAGGGTGCTGAGCCACCTGCCAGGGCCGGGGCGACCCCATGACCGGTCACAGAGCACCGTGAGAACACAGAGTGCTCCTGTGGTGTGAGAGTGCGGGGAGGAGTATTCCAGAACCAGTCGCTTACTTATTTCAGCTCCAGGGAGGAGCAGAGAGACACATCGTAGGGGATTCTCAAGTCCAGCAGTCCCTGGGGACAACTCAGATGCGAGCCATACAATTTCGTTTGGACTGGTCCAATTCCAGGTTAAAAATAAATAGGGTCTTATGAAAGAGTTTCTATTTGATAACGGCTGCTTTCATACTTCCAGAATATTCTAGAGTTGTCTTAGACATCAGATTATGATAAATCATAATCTCATTCAAAAATACCTGACAGAACTTGCCTTTTAGGACGCACACAGAGAACACTGGAAACAGGAAGCACACAAACAGAAAGGGAGACGAACTTGAACTTGCCGGCAGCGCGGCTGAGTCAGTAGTCAGCCAGCAGGACTTAAAGCAGCAGTTGCCTGCCCGATTATAATCACAGCCGCAGTTTAAATACGTCACGTGATTGCACAGCGCATGTGCCGTGAGCCTCTTGGGGACCACGGTGGGGACACAGCACTGAGGCCGTCCTGGCTCGAGCTGTGAGCTCACCTTTACCCACAAGATGGAGCCTGCCGGTCCTTAGGCTACTTCCCAAAGGATGTGTGAGCTGGACCTCCTGCTAGACTTGGGAGAACATCTCAATTCCTTTTTTTTAAAGGTTTATTTGCTTATTTGAAAGGCAGAGTTACACAGAGAGAGAAGGAGAGGCAGAGAGAGAGAGAGAGGTCTTCCATCCACTGGTTCACTTCCCAGTTGGCCACAACGGCCAGAGCTGAGCCAGTCTGAAGCCAGGAGCCAGGAGCTTCTTCCAGGTCTCCCATGTGGGTGCAGGGGCCCAAGGACTTGGGCCATCTTCTACTGCTTTCCCAGGCCACACAGAGAGCTGGATCGGAAGTGGAGCGACTGGGTCTTGAACCGGCGCCCCTATGCGATGCCAGCACTGCTGGCGGATGCTTTACCTGCTCCCCCACAGCCCGGCCCCAAGAGTACAGCTCATGTTCACCTCTGCTCAGTATTTGTAGAGCAGAATTTGTCTCCTCGTGGACTTTCATTGTCTCATTTCTCTGTGCATCTGTCTCTTAGCTCTAATTCAGTACTGACGTGTCTTCAGGAATATAAGCTATGGGGGCTGGTGCCATGGCTCACTTGGTTAATCCTCCGCCTGCAGCACTGGCATCCCATATGGGCGCTGGGTTCTGTCCTGGTTGCTCCTCTTCCAGTCCAGCTCTCTTCTGTGACCGGGAGGGCAGTGGAGGATGGCCCATGTGCTTGGGGTGTGCACCCCATGGGAGACCAGGAGAAGCACCTGGCTCCTGGCTTTAGATCGGCGGCGCAGCGTGCCTACCATAGCGGCCATTTGGGGGGTGAACCAACGGAAGGAAGACCTTTCTCTCTGTCTCTCTCACTATCTAACTCTGTCAAATAAATTATAAAAAAGAATATAAGCTATGATGATCCCAAAAAAATTAAGAGCACAACTCAAACTGTTCTTTTTGTCTGAATGCTAATGCTAAGAGTTAACAAAATAGAATGTGTGTTTGCCCAAATGTGTGTGTTCCAATCAGTTAAATCGAGAACTTTATAATTAGAAACATTGAAGCAGGCACTGAAGGCTGAAGCAAACATTTAAAAACCAGAGGACACTGAGTCTGCAGTTCATTCCCTCTCTCTGCAGACCCAAAGTTGGGGAGAAGGAAACGAGCACTTAATCTTCACCACGGTAGTTAAAGGAAGAAACTGTAGCCCCGGTTTATGAACGAGGAGGCCAAGGTCAAGGGAGGTTAAGAGGCCCGTGTTTGATTGTGGACCCTGGGTCTGCCGCCTCCTCCTCCACACCTCAGCTCTTTTCATTTTTGATTAAAACCGAATCACGGGGGACGGGTGCAAAGGTCAACAGAGCCGTCCCCTCCCCTCCCGTGCACTGTGCCGCTGTCCTCAACTGCAATCCAGAAATACGAAATGGAAAATTCCAGAGAAAAGCAATTCCTAAGTTCTGAATTATTTTTATTACAGCACTTCGCTATAATTCTTGTTTTATTATTATTGCTAATCTCTTATTGTGTTACTTTATGAATTAGACTTTATCTCTGATGAAGAAACGTAGTCTCTCTGGGGTTCTGTACTCTCGACGGCTTCGGGCGTCCATGGGCACCTTGCATGCTGCCCCGCTGTGGACCCGGGGCCACTCCCGCACTGTCTCTGTCAATCGGTGTGAGACGGGAGCGGCTGCGAGGCGCTGGGTCGCACCTGCGATGTGCGTCTGTGGCTGCTACCTGCCTCTTTGTTAACGGGGGAGAACGCAAGCGTCCCCCCACCCCCGCCTGGCAGCACTGCCTGCGCAGACAAGCAAACAGTCTTAACCCCAATTGCGTTTACTTCCTCGGGAAACAGAATGGGCTTGATTTTGTCCTTTAGACATAACCTAATGACAGAGCAATATTGAAAGTAAGCAATTGCCTGAAGTCCCTTTCAATTCACAGCATCCAATATGTCTCATATAAAATAATAAAGTGTTCCTAGAAATATTAGAAGAAACACCATTATTTAATTACCATAAGGCCTTCCGGGACAGAAATAAAACATGATTTAGGTGGATGCACGGTGGGGGCGGGGCCCAGATAGGGACTGAAAACACATTACACAGATGAGACGTGAAATGCGGGTGAGGAGCGGGCAGATTTGGGGCCAGCAGCACAATGATGGATGAAATGCTGAAATAGAATAAAATAATGGAAAAGAAGAAATAAACTCCACAATGATATTTTGTTTTATTGAGGCAGAAACAATAGCGAAATCGAGAAGGGCCAACAGTGCTTCCAGGATTAAATAATGATTTTCAAGACCAACGGGGAAAGAGACAAGGAGGAAACTTTTTAATTTCATTTCTCGTAAGATGGCGAATTGTTTCAGTGGCTCAGATTAGTTAAGCTCTGGGTCGGATTGCACAGGCAGTGAGACTTAGATGGGCAGAGATAGGACAGCAGGCAAATAACAACAGCTTATACTGGCAGGGGACTTCTTCCGCAGAGAGACTGGCCAAGAAAATATTAAATAAGAAATAAGTATGCATGGAGCTCAAACATTTTGCAACGAAGTAAGCTTAACTTTTTGTTCTATTTTTCACTAACACTTTGAAATATGATGGTGCACACAACTGCTTAGTAACCAGGAACTGAAGGTTGCCAGGACACAGACTTACCAACCTCAGCGGCTTCCCTCTGGAGGGCTGAGAGCCGCAGACATGGGGACACGCAGGGGTTGAAGTTGAAGGTCACAGCTGCAAAGTTGTGGGCAAGGTGACTCACACGGACGCTGAGCTGAGAAAACCCACCTGCAAGCAGCTGCAGCCCACAAGGAAACACGGGCCGTGTCTGCTTCTCCCCGCCGCAGGCCTCTGTCTGAAGATGCGAGCCCCCAGCACTGCACGCGAGTGCGGGATGCTCCGGTCACCACACGGTCGGCCTCCGCAGAGGCTGCTCCCTCAGTTGCTTCCCTGGTTAAAAGCAAAATTACAGCTTGTTTAATTTGAAACAAAATGCACAGTTGAAATGTAAATGAATTTTAAAATACATAAAGGCTCTTCTAAATGCTGAGTAGCAATTTTGTTAAGCCACCCGTAGAGGTGAATGACAGCCAGCAAACCTCTCCAAGGGCATAGAGTTACCGCAGCACCTGGAGCGGCAGAGGTCGGCCTCTCGCTCCCTCCAGGGGTTCCTCGAGTGTCACCTGACGGGTGCCGGGTGCCTTGCTGGACACTGAGGCAAAGACAGAGACCGTACCTGGTGCTCCATTCACCCACACGCCTGGAAGGAAGGTTCCAGAACAGCAGCTGGTCCCGCAAGGGGGATGCTGATGGGGTCCCAGCCCCCCGCACACAGCGGGTCTCCCTTACAACCTTCCAGACAACTCCAAGGGTGTCAGCAATGCTCTCAGGAACCCGGGAGCCGGGCAGGCGATGCTGTCCTGTCCGCGCAGGACAAACCGAACTTGGGAGGCAGACATGCACATGGGGAGAGGCTCAAAGGTTTGAGGTTTTCAGGTCTTTCCACGTAGCAAAACGTCCTGGTGGGTGGGGATGCCCCTGGAGGGTGGAAGTTTCCGGAAGACGAGAAGGACGAGGAACGCGAGAGCAGCCTCCAGGCGTGCGCCGGCGTGCCCGTGGGCAGGGGACTGTCTCCTGTGGCCGAGGAGGAGAGCAGGCATGTGTCGGCGTGCCCGTGGGCAGGGGACTGCCTCCTGTGGCCGAGGAGGAGAGCAGGCGTGTGTCGGCGTGCCCGTGGGCAGGGGACTGTCTCCTGTGGCCGAGAAGGAGAGCAGGTGTGCGTTGGTGTGCCCGTGGGCAGGGGACTGTCTCCTGTGGCTGAGGAGGAGAGCAGGCGTGGACTGGCGTGCCCGTGGGCAGGGGACTGTCTCCTGTGGCCGAGGAGGATCACTAAGGCGTCTCACAGCTGGACATTTCCTCTCAGAGGTCAGTGTTTCTCTAGGGGCTGAACGGGAGGTGGACCTGGGATGCTGCCGCTACAAACACCTGCCACCGTCTGCAGCCATAAGGCCCTGCCTGGCAGCCATGGCCCTGCCCACCGCTGGCACCCGCCTTCCTGGGGTCCTCCTGCCCCTCCGTGTCCGGCCCAGGAGCTGGAGCTTCTGCAGCTGGGCGGCTGCCCCAGCCAGTACGGCCAACTCTTTCCCCTGCGCCCCAAGCCCGAGGCCTGGGCGGCTCAGCACGTCCCCTCGCAGCGCCCAGGGAGACGCACCTCTCACGGAGCAGCCCCTGTTCCTCTCTGGTTTTAATTCAGCTGTGTTCTTTCCCGTAAGCTGGAAATTCTTGCCCAGGTTTCATTCCTTAATGTTACTGACCTCAATAAAACTGGGAAAAAAAAAATCCAGCCAGATCAAAGAGACAGCCAGAAACAGAATCAAGCATTATGCATAGAATTTTATATTTGACGGATATAATAACAATGCAAAACAAGGAGAAAAGGAAGGGTTACTGGACAAGCAATGTACACATGGCGTGAAGTGCAGAAATAGCTCCCTTCACAACACGCACCGGGATAAGTTCTGAGCTGATCACATAAGTGTGTGAACACCAGATCACAAAAAAGAGGGGAAACCCTGCAGTGCATGACCCCTGGTTAGAGCAGACACTACCAGAGCGGGGCTCGGTGTGGTGGCTGAGACGAGGCTTGGGACGCCCGCAGCCCACACGCGAGTGCCCGGGGGTCGGGTCTCAGCTCTGCTCGCCACCAGCTGCCTGCTGCTACACACCCTGGGAGGAGGCTGTGACGGCCCGAGCAGCCGGGTTCCAGCCACTCATGTGGGGCACCTGCGTGGAGTTCCCAGCTCGTGGCTTCAGCCTGGCCCAGTCGTGGGTCTTGTAGGCATTTGGGGAGTGAACCATCAGATGGAATCTCTCTCTCTCACTCATTCTTTCAATAAATAAGATAAAGAAATAAAAATTTTACAAGTACTTTTCCATACATTAAATTATTGAAAGAAACCACAAAGAAAATTATTCTAAATTTGATTACCCAGGATTAATCTGCTTCCTACCGTCCATAAATGCCATAAATAAAATTTTAATTTTGACTTTTCAGGAAAAGAACAGTTGGGAAAATATTTTCAACAAACTGATAGAGAATAACATTTAAAGAGTTCAAAGGCTTATTTTCGGAAGAAAGAGATTCCAGAGCAGGGATGTCCAATAAGAGGAAACGTTTTGGCATAGAGGATAATTTATAACAACTATATGGAAAATGCTCGATTGTATGAAAATTCTAAACTGGAAAATTGGGAAACAAAGTGAATGTTACAGTCTTGCTAAGCTACCACATAAGTGATTTGACAATAGGAATAAAATAAAATATTTCATGTCATTTGTCTTCAACATTTAATTTTTATTTAGAATCAGTGTGAAATATGTTTCCAATCATATTCATCATCTTTTAAAGAATTGTGAGACACTGGTGGCTCGCTCCTTGCTCAGGGCAGGAAGCAGCTCACTACAGGTGCACCTGTGGCCCCCAAGGATCATGCCGTGGGCCGATGGTGGGCACAGTGGCCGATGCCACGTGGGAGGTCTGCGTCCCACAGCACAGCGCCTGGGCGCCAGTCTCGGCTCCACTTCCGATTCCAGCTTCCCCTGATGTGCACATCTGGGAGGCGGCAGAAGATGGCGGAAGTACATGGTCCTGCAACCCGTTTGGGAGACCCAGATGGAGTCCTGGCTCCTTGCCGTGGCCTGACCCAGTCCTGGCTGCTGCAAGCATTTGGGGAGTGAACCAGCTGATGAGAGCCCCCTCCCTCTGCCTCCCTATCTGCCTTTCAAATGAAGGAAAACCAAACAGTAAAACAACCTGGAAAGACAGTACTCAGCCATGTGGAGGAGCCCTCATCTATGATGCTGAGAGCGTACTGGCAGAAGAAACACTGGCATGTAAAGTAAGACTTTTGGGTTCAGTGACAGCCGTGATTTCTGATTTTGCTTTATACTTATTGGTGTTTTCCAAACTTCCAAGAAGAAGATATGCTAATTTGAGAATTACAAGGGAATAATTAATAAGATAGAAGTATTACAGTTACTGCTGTGGGTGTAGTGCGACTTGAAGCCTCCTACTCCGTGGGTGGGAGCAGGAATTGATAAAATCCTCATAACAACAAGATACATATTATGACCTTGAACTTGACATTCCTGCCTCTGAAGCAGTGACTCCAGCTTTATAAAGATAGCCAAGCATAACACTGTGTATTAGAAAATGGAAATTCAATACTAAAAGTCGTGAAAAAATCCACAAAGAAAAATATCATTAAATATGACTCCACAGAAGTTCTTTATATCTATAAATACCATAAATAAAAATTTAACATCACTGTCTTAGGCAAATAGCATTATAGAATTATTTTATAAATATACAGTATGTTTGATAAATATTGTCATATTCCTTTTATAAACATCTATACATAATATTATGAATATATGTAATGTATCAATGAAGCATTGTTTCACAGTTAATTTATTGCAATAAAGATTCAAAATTCCTCTAGCTGCCCATAAAAAGGCTTTGGCTAGATCACTTTGGCCACTGATGCAATGGAGTGTGCATATGCTATAATATTGATACAAGGTTTACCAGAGAAGAAAATCTCAAGTCAAAACACTCAAGTGGAGAAAATCCTCAAGGAAACACAGGGACCTTAGGGAGTCTTTTTATGGAATCTCTTGGAACCTTTAACTTCACATTTTTATGCATCGCCAGATTTTTATCAAACTGTAATTGTATAACTAGAAAATGTGTTTGCTTTTTAAAAGTTCAAAGAAATGTTGATCGAGGTTGAAAGAGAAGGCCTGGGGGCGGCGCTGTGGTGTAGCGGGTTAATGCCCTGGCCTGAAGCGCCGCCATTCCATATGGGCACCGGTTCTACTCCCAGTTGCTCCTCTTCCAATCCAGCTCTCTGCTATGGCCTGGGAGAGCAGTGGAAGATGGCCCAAGTGTTTGGGCCCTGCACCCGCGTGGGAGACCCGGACAAAGCTCTTGGCTCCTGGCTTTGGATTGGCACAGCTCCAGCCATTGTGGTCCATTGAGGAGTGAACCAGTAGATGGAAGACCTCTCTCTCTCTCTCTCTCTGCCTCTCCTCTCTCTGTGGAACTCTGACTTTCAAATAAATAAATAAAATAAATCTTAAAAAAAAAAAAAAGAAATAGAAGGCTTACGTCATTCTACCACTAAACCAGGGCCAAGAGGGCTCAGGACAGCAGTATCAGCTGTCTGTCCATTTGCCCACTTAGAGTGACTTTTGTGGGAGGAAGTTTTTAAACATTTTTGCTCCATTACTCATTAGAGGGCATGCTAGGTGCACACTGGTGCTGGATATGTGGTTACACACACACACACACACATCCACCCACACACACCCACACACACCCACACACCCACACCCAAACTTTGTTTCACACACATTGTGCCGTAAGGGAACACGTGCCTCGACAAGACTGCAGAGTTTCCTGGGATCGAGGAAGCGGCCCTGGGTGACACATGTCTTCATATCTTGAGTGCATTTCCTCCATAGGCCATTTGAATAAAATAACTGCGTATGCTATCAACTCGCTAAATTATGTTCTGAATACAAACCATTAGGAAGGAAATAAAAGTGACACTTTTTAGTCCAACTGAAGAGCGATTTGGAGAGCGGGTGGTGCAGGCGGGCAGACCTTCCCAGGAGAGGCTGCGGCAGCCCCGGCACACGCGGCGCCCCGGGAACCTGGCTGCTGCCCACACTTGGCGTCTCAGCCGGAGGAGACCGAAGCACAGCCCTAACTACTGTCTGACCCCAGAGCAAGGTTGACAGTGTGCCCCTCAGGTCGCGGTTCTGGGATCGGGGCAAATTCTTATAAAGTCACCAATGTTAATAAGATGACCGCGTCACTGTAAGGTGCATTCCCTACATCCTAGAGATCACCCCATTTGTAGAATTGCGGGATGCGTCGAAAAAGCAACCCCGGAGTCGGATGAGCTGATTTGTAATCCTGGCTCCGTGATCGACCAAATGACTTTGGACAAGTCTCCAAGTACGTTTCCTTTCCTCATCCGTGAAATGGGTGAGCAACGGACATCTAGAAGTGTGCATCCGGGGGCTTCAATTTAGGAATCAGCTATAGCTGTTTGGTGAAAACGACAGCCAGTGGTAGACCCCAGAGTGTCTCGGGAAAGGAAGCTACACTGGCAGTTTTGGACCTGGCAGGCACCCTGCGCTGGGAGCCAGGCGCAGACACAGCCGCACAGCCCCAGCCGTTCCAGGGATCCCTTCAGGTGACACAAGAGGAGCGACCACGAGCCTCCCGTGGAGCCGTGCTGCGGACGGCACCTGGGCACCGCGCCGGCCACGACAGCGGCCCCTGCAGGCTCAGCCAGACGCCCTGCTCTGCGAAGCTCCAGTCGGTATGGGAAGGAGCACTTCAGGACCCTGCGGTGGACTCAGTGGGGACGCAGAGGACCCCCGTGAAGTCAGTAGACGCCTGCTTGCTTCCTGCCGCAGAGCAATTAAAAGGAAGGGCGCACCACACACTGTGTGGAAAGCGTCACTACGGGAGTGGCCCAAGGAACACGGAGTGGACGCTGGCAGACCGCAGACGTGCTGCGTGCCCGCCAGCACACCAGGCTTGCAGTCAGTGCCTGGGAAGGGAACTGTTCTGCGTGCCCACACTAGCACGTAGCTGTAGTCGCAATCGTTTCCTTTAGAAGCATGATTGCTTGGGGTCTTCGGTACAGTAACTTGTCTGGCAACTTCACCGCGCCCCTCACTGTTTTCACGGGAACTCGGGATACAAGCCATCCCCTGGGTGTTGGGGCCAAGAAGAGACACTGCAGACCTGATCTGTGATTTATTAGGAAGGGATGTGACGCGTCCTCCCCCACCCCTCCCTCTTCTTCCCTCAACCCCTCCCTGCCCTGCACCCACGTGGGAGACCTGGAAGAAGCTCCTGGCTCCTGGCTCCTGGCTCCTGGCTTCAGATAGGCCCAGCTCCGGCCAATGCAACCATCCGGGGAGTGAACCAGCAGATGGAAGACCTCTCTCTCTCTTTGCCTCTGCCTCTCTATAACTCTGACTTTCAAATAAATAAATGAATCTTTGAAGAAAAGAATAAAACAGAACATGCATATTTCCAAATCAACACCAAACTGTAAGAAAGAAGACTACATTTATTACGTGTGTTTTCAAAGCTTTCAGAAATCCTTTTTATGGTAGATATATATCAAAGAAAACATATAGGCATGTAGGGAATAATGGAGACTGAAGCTTTTCCTAAAACCAGCAAGGGGAAAATTGCCTGAATCAGGGCCAGGGAAGGTTTAAATCCTACAATCTGAAAACC